GCTCGTCTGTGAGGAGGAGACCGGCCGCGCTGGGAAATAGAGCCGCAGCCAAAAGCGACGCTCCCCCCGTCTCAAAAAGAAAAAAGTCTAAAAAAAATTTAAAAAAACCCACCAAGAACACCCTCACGCTGACACACAATCTCTCCCTTTCGGAGCGCTTTCCTGACACGCACTTCGTGGCGCTGCCTGCTGAAGGTGCATTTGTGTCGGTAGCTTGCTGGTGGGGGCTTTTCTGGTTTATTTTTCTTTTTTATTTTTTTTTTCTGAAGCTCTTCGGCCTTCGTGGTGCAGTGCAGGAAGGGGAGCATCGGCGTTTCCGTAGGACAGTGGGAACTTAAAATCTTCCTGTGTGCCTGCGTGCTTCCATTAATGCTTCAAACCATTAAATAAAAGCGGTTGCCTTTCGCATTGTCTTCACTGTATCACCTTTTACTGTTCCAGCCCTTCTTATGTGCGAGACGCTCAATTATTTTTCTCTCAACTTTCTATTTTGATGGAGTCAGCGTTTTTCTGGTTTTATGGTAATTACTTTGGAATAAACCGCTAATTGCTTGCAGTGTTCAAAGGTGGTCAAGAAATCATGACCATACACAACGGTCAGCTTTCTTGGTGGAACCAGCAAATACCTGGGACTTGCAGCTTGCCATTTTATGTGCCCCTGAATTTGCCTGGTACTTTCCAGGCAGTGCTTGTACACCCTTCTTTTTTTTTTTTCCCCCTCCCACTTTTTTGGCGATTAATTTCTGGACGCTGTTGCCAGGCAGGAGATAAAAGGAAGCCGAATTACTAAATTTAATCTTACGCAGCAGACTTTGTGCAGATAGCTTAATGCTGTTAAAGAGCCATCTCTATTTCACTTTAACTAGGAGTCGCCCTGGAAAGCATGATTTCCATTACAGATCTTGCAGGCAGGCCTTGAAATGGCAGCAGTTGCAACTGTGTCACTGTTCAGAGGCGGGATTATAAATTAAGGCAAATTAACCTCTGCTTCTCTGTAAGGTGAATCTGGCAATCTTGCCTACCCTTCTGTAGGTAAGGTTTGGCCCTGCATCCAGCGGTTAATACGAATGGACCAGAGACCCTTGTTTCTGGGATGCCGCATTCGTAACTGCTGTAACGAGTGTGTAAATCCCTTTTATTCTGGAAGAGAAGCCCGTGTGATGTATAAAATGTGTGCAGGTGGACTAGCATGTTGTTGTGTTTTTTTTCCCCTCCTAGACGATGACAATTCAGAAGAAGGCCTTCACACCATCCATTCGGGAAGGCACGAATATGCATTCAGCTTCGAGCTTCCACAGACGTAAGTGCCCGCATGCAGTCCTTGGGCCCTGCTGCCCACCCGCCTGAGCAAAACTCCTGCTGTGGGTGGAGGGGAAACCTTTTCAATGGTAGCAGGAATTGTGCTCCGACATGCAGCGGAGGACATAATCTCGTTAAACTGAAGAGGTTGCTTTTAAACTGATACACGCTTCCTTTGTCTCTTTTTTTTTTAATCTCCACAAAATGGGAGCTCATTGCTGCCCAGTTGCTCACTTTCTTTTGACCAAGTCCTGCTGACTTAACTAGGTCTTCCAATATTTTGCCCCTTCCCAAGAGGAGGGAGAGGAATTTGAACCGTCACTGGAGTACTGCAGAGTGGCTGAGATACCTTCTAACCCAACCAACAGTTTACTGGAGCCATGCAGACCAGCAGATAAGGTCATAGCTGAATTGTTTGGGCTCGGTTTGGAACAGATGTGGCAAGTTTAACAGTTTGAACAAAAGAGGAGGTGGTTCTCGTTTAAATAGGATGTATGTATCCAGGCTGGCCTTTATACAGAAAGCCTGGATGGAAATTAAGCAGAATGATGGGTGGATGAAGCAAGAAAAATTCCTGTACCTAATCCCATTTGTCGCAGAAAGCAAAGGTGAAGCAAGAGTGAGAGCAGAAGTGTTAATATTGTTACCCCACCCCCAAAGTCCGAAATGTGTAATCTAGACATGGTGGAGGGAAGATTTATACATAGAGGAGTTACCAGTATGGAAATCAGCTAAAAATACGAGTTTCAATACAAATAAATAGATAGGAACAGAGGGAGTCTCAACATGGATGGAAAAAGGAGCCTTTTGCTGTAAAAGGCAAGCAGTGAAGTCATTAAGGTTGAGAAAATTTGGCAGTGTGTTACGTGAAATACCTCAGTACCTAATATTAAAGCTAATAAACCATCTGTTTGTTAGAGGTGCTGGTTTTAGCAAAATGTGCAGATGATAAACGCTTTTAGCGGTCAGTTTCAAAGTGAACAGCACAGGACTTTACAGTAGAACTTGCTGGAAGAGTGGAGAAGACCTGTATACATAGGGATTTTTAAAGACCATTTAGCATTCTGTGCAAATCTCAACTACAAAAAGAAAAAGGCTAATACTAATGCCCTTGGAAGGGGCATTTAAGTATGCAAAGACGAAAAAGCGTTACACACAAACATGAAATGCTTCGCTTGAAGTGAAGCAGATAGCCAGCAAAATATCACAAGCATTCGTCAAAACACAGGTTCTTTTTAAGCGACCTGAAACAACAACTGTGAAACCAGCTGTTGATAATACTGAAAAAACAAAAGCTGGTATTAGAAGCCTGAAGTTTGACACTGCCTACTTACTTGTTATTTTGTGTCCGTAGAATACTTCCAAAATGTACTTAAACTACAGAGCAACAGTGGAAAGACAGCACATGTTGGCCTTACGGATTTTTGCCCTAAAGAATATGGGGCAGGATGAAACACTGAAGACCAATTAGAAAATCCTTTCATTTGGATTACTGGGATAAAAAAGTAAACATTTCAGATGTGCCAGTAGAGAAGTCAAACCTGTAACTGAAAGAATCATTCCAGTTGAAGTATTAGCATGGTTAATATTACTCCCTGTGGAAGACATGGAAGTTTTGCAGATAATTCATGTTTAATTTATATATTGCAATGTATTCAAAACTCAGTATAATAGGAAAAATTTACTTGCATAAAAATAAGGGAAAAAATCAGTTACGGAAAACTGCTGTTAATTGGAGATAACTGGAATATAAAGATTTTTGTCTTTGATTTTATGATGTTACAGGAAAAAAGGTGATGCTGAAAGGCTTGGAGATCCTTTCCACTTCATTTTTCTCCAGCTCCCAAAAAGGACTTCTCTCATCTGCCAAAGTTCAGAGCAGAATAGGCTTGATGACTTTATGTGTGTTTCTATATGCTTATATATGTACATCCGTATACAATATAAATGTTTTAAGCTGGTCTCATCAGGGTAGAGGAAAATTAGAAGGTACTCAAAATAGCCTCTCTCTTCAGAACTCTAAATTGAAGTATTTGCTTAAGGCGAAGCAAACTACAAAAGTGCTGAGTTGCAGCTAAAATTAAGCTGACACTGAGATACCAGCCAAGTAAACAATAGACAATTATTTACAAAATACGATATCCAAAACAACAATTGGTTGATACTAATGCTAATTTTAAATTGGTAGTCCTAATTTGGCCTTAAAAGGGCGTGCTTTACTCTAGATGTGAAAGTGGCCTCTTAAGTTTAAAGGAAATGTGTATTCTCCTGGCATTTTCTAGTACAATTCTTCAATTGATTCTTAAAATCTATGCAAAACTACAGTAGGATGAATCGGAGATGATTTTTTCTCCCATCTTTAATCTTGAATTTTTCTGAGATATGGAAACTTTGCAAATAAGTTACGCTGCATTAAATACTACAGTGCACTAAAAATGCAGTTCTACATACTAATCCCTGATCTGATCAATTGTATCATTATTAGACAGAAAGACTTTACTCAATTTTGACCTTTGTGTCCTGCACAGACCACTTGCTACCTCATTCGAAGGCAGACATGGCAGTGTGCGCTATTGGGTGAAAGCCGAATTGCATAGGCCTTGGTTTCTACCAGTAAAATTAAAGAAGGAATTTACAGTCTTTGAGCATATAGATATCAACACTCCTTCATTACTGGTAAGAATTGACAGAATTACTAATTCTTTGTTTCTGGCATAAAAATAAGTATAATAAGTGAAACAATATCCACACCTAATTTTACCTAATATTTATTCGCTAGTTTAATTACAGCTGATCTTCTAAGTATTACTTCAGTTCAGCAACTCTTTAACTACTGGTATTTTGAAAGCTACGTTTTCCTATTCTTGGAGTTGCTTCACATTTAAGATATGTAAAATGGCTTTGTCAATTTAAATTTATAATACTAAATTGTAAAATGTCACAAGGAAGGAAAATTTCGTGAACTGTTCCTCTTTGATTTTGAATAAAGAATAATCTGTGGAAGGAACAGTGAAACTTAATATTATAATGAGAGACTGCTAACTTAAAAATGTAAAGCAAAAAACGTACTGGCGTGCATAATTGATAATTTCCATATGGATAGTTTTCTACCAATGGGGAGAAATTATCATAATTCGGTATAGTCTTTTTCTGAAATGTCATTGCACTAAAATAATTTCAATATCACAACTGCTTTCAATGAGGATTTGATTTCAATCTGGCCTAAAATTCCTTTTTTTTTTTCCTCCTCCTCAAGTTCTAATCTATGGAGGGGGAAAAAACCTCAGAGTCCATTGAAATAGGTTTCTTGTGTGTATGGGTGAAAAATCAGACTTGCAAAGGGACATTGGCGTTGCACAAATTCCATTAAAATCAAAGGACTCGCATTTGACTTTAATGGGCTTTGGATCCAGTCCTGAATCCTGATAACCATGTAAAACAACAAAGTCTGTTTAAGATAGATGAAACAGGATCATTCCAAAACAGAGGAAATAGCAGGAGTCAGGGTTACAGTACTTTTGTTTTTTAGTTATTGTTTCTGAAATACAGTGTACTGGAAAGATGTTCTAGTTTACTGATAAATGAAAAGCTCTGCCAACAATGTGTTGGGATATGTAGGCTATAAAGCCTTTTCTTCGGTTACACAGGTTTCCATGTATAAAAACTGTTCTAAGTGTGACTGTAGCATGAAGCGTAGCAGGAAAAGCAGTGTTAATGCGTAATGGAATCAGAATAAACGTTGTATCTGCATAGTGCCATTTAAATTGCTTGAGTTTTTTCCTATAAGTAAAACTAGCTATGTTTATCAAAATATGTAGTAAATACATCATTAAAATAACTTTTTGTGTTGATTAAAATAGATGAAGAGATTAATGGAACTCTTAATTAAATGGGCAATGTTGTTCTTTTCTTGCAGTCACCCCAAGCAGGCACAAAAGAAAAGACTCTCTGTTGTTGGTTTTGTACCTCAGGCCCAATATCCTTAAGTGCCAAAATTGAAAGGAAGGGCTACACCCCAGGTACGTAACAGAAGTAATTATAGGAAATGTTTTTCCTTCCCTTCTAAAATGACAGTTTGTACTTACTGCTTTCATATAAACGAAATACTTAAACTATCAGGACTTAAACTATTCTTACCACCTCAGTCTGCATTTGGCAATCTTATTGCCAAATATACTTTCTTAACTATGACTAACTTTGTTAACTAATGCTAGCTGTGTCTCCAGATTGTCGAAGGACATTTGCTTTTATTAGACCTGTGCATTTCTCTTTTTAGATTAGCTTGTCGTGATCCTATCCCTGTTAGCATCAGTGGATGTTTTTCAAGGTAGAGCATTGCTGGAAGCATCCGGTGCATTATAACAATACACAGAATGTGGCGATTTGCTTAAGCTGCCTTGTAAATACAAAGAGAGCATGAAATTCTGTTTGTTTCAGGTGAATCAATTCAGATCTTTGCTGAGATTGAGAACTGCTCTTCCCGTGTGGTGGTGCCAAAGGCAGCCATTTACCAAACACAGGCATTTTATGCCAAAGGGAAAATGAAGGAAGTCAAACAGCTTGTTGCCAACCTGCGTGGGGAATCCTTGTCATCTGGCAAAACAGAAACCTGGAATGGCAAACAGTTGAAAATTCCACCTGTTTCCCCTTCAATCCTTGACTGTAGTATAATCCGAGTGGAGTATTCACTGATGGTACGTTGGATGGTCTGTTTCGCTCAAGCATGAGTAGTTTTCTGTCATTCCTTGCAAATTGGTAACAAAGCATTCTGTGCTAACTAGTTACAAAAGAAATACATATCCTAGTATTAGCGTCCTGACAGGAGTTCTGTAAATCAGTTTAAATCATGCATGTCCTTAAAACAGTTGTGGTGTGCCAGCTAAGCAAATGTGTTATGGGTAGGCAACATTTCCATGTGAGGGCTCATGTTAAGAATCCTGAGCTGCTTTTGACTTGAGGAGCTTTTTGACTCCATTAGGGGCATTGGCCCTAAAACAGACAGTAAGAAACTTGTGGAAAATTCCATGGATGGAGAACTTAGTCTAATAATTATGAAGAGCTCATACAAACCTACATTTTAATCATACACCTCTTCTGTTGTTGTTCTTTAGGTATATGTTGATATTCCAGGCGCCATGGATTTATTCCTTAACTTACCACTGGTCATTGGTACCATTCCTCTACACCCATTTGGTAGCAGAACATCGAGTGTGAGCAGCCAGTGTAGCATGAACATGAATTGGCTTGGTCTGACACTGCCTGAAAGACCCGAAGGTAACTTGACAATACAAATCACAACCAATTTGCTAGTCTGTTTAGATTTTTGTCTGCTTTATTCATTGCTGTCGTGCAAACACACCCAAATTACATCCTTCGTAATAAAGCCCACAGGAAGTTCCTTGTGGCTGTTTCCTTGCCACCTGCTTGTTCTGTGTAGAAAGAACAGGGTTCCTTCCCTGCCTTCCTCTCTCAAGGACAAGCAGTGAAACCCAGCTGCTTGGATTGGAGGCTGGCACAACGGAAAGCGCAGGATGCCATTGTACCTGTGCAGAATTTATTCTGCCCCCTGTATCCCAATTGCATCCTTGGTTATAAGGCATTGTAACCTGTCACAATAGTGCTTTACGGTGTCCTTCACCAGCCTTAGTAGCCAAGGTTTGTGAAAACATAATGTAATTCATTTCAATGGGAAATCTCTCTTGTCAAAGGAAAAACTCTGTAGCTCCTTCCCTCTGTTTTCACATACCTAATAACATCCCTTTATATGTACAAATCCCAGACTCAGATTTGTGGAGTCTGGAGGAATGCAATGTTCTATCATTACTACCCGTACAGAAATTCAGTATTCTGAGTTTTCTTCAAATTTTAAGGGGATAATTAAGCCACAATAAGCAGTGGTCAGTCTGCTCTTGGATTTGAGCATGATCTTGAAACAAAACAGCCTACCCTCCCCTTCACATTCAACGACTGTTAAAAAGTCACTGAAGTAATTTACCTACCTGCTGGTGCCTTTTACGATGAAAGTTTTAATATTTATCCTGCTACATATTTTGACATGCATAAGAACTTGTTGCTCAAACTGCGTGTGCCTTTTCCCTGCAGCACCTCCTAGCTATGCAGAAGTGGTCACGGAGGAACAAAGACAGTCCAGCCTTGCACCCATAGGTGCTTGTGATGACTTTGAGAGAGCGCTTCCAGGACCATTGTTTGCATACATCCAGGAGTTCCGTTTTCTGCCTCCACCCCTCTATTCAGAAGTAGGTACCTCAGACAGAATATGATGACTAATTCACTGTTTTTTCTGAATTCTGTCATGTGAATAAATGTAGGAAGTTGTTCCTCCTTCCTAAAATGGGGAGAAATCATTAAACTGATGAACAGGGGATAAGCCAGCTTCATTTTAGCAAAGTGCGGGTGAACTGCATCAAGAGTTTTCAGGATTCTTCACAATTCTAATGCTTTGTAGAAATCGCCAAGCTCTTCTGTACCCTCTTGGCAACTTCATTAAAACCTTGCATTACATACATAATACATTGCATTGGTTAACACCAATATTTTGGGTCTATAGATGCACAACACGCTAATGTTTTTCAGCTCTACTTTCTAAAACTACTCTTTCGGTGCATGTTTGGTTCTGTGTATGTAGTGCTTTCAGAAGTTCCACGTAGAGGAGTTACAAAGGTATTCTTTCTGACTTAGGTAAAATAGTGTCCTTTGGCTAAACCTTGCCTGAATTCACTGTTGATTTTTTTTTTTCTTCTCGAAACACTAATCTGCTATTGAGTGGGCAGAGAGGGGCATGTTTTTTGTGTGCTGGAGACTTCTCTGAGGACTTTTCTATAGCTTAACCCTAGAATACAGCTCCTAAGTCCTTTTCATTTTAGGTCCTTAAAGATTTAGAAAGAAGCCTACTTTATGCTCAAAAACAGTTGTATAAAATTAACTGATAAGAATGTTGTCTAAACTATATACTGTACACTTAACCTATTCTTAGTACCCAGTTTTGGAGACCCAAGTTAGCACGTTGTCCCCCTTCTTCCTTTTCTAGAAAGGAGGAGGTAAGGTGTGGAACACATGAACTTCTAAGACACTTCATGGGGTGTTTGAGGATTCATTACTTGTAAATTAAAAGTAGAATGACTTTTTACAGATAACTTTTGAAGCAAAATGTCTTCTGAAATGAACTAAATATTTCTTAAGTTACATTTTTAGTGATGGGTCAAGCTGTCTTTTTAGTGTACAGTAAATAATCCAGATTTGTGTGCTACTAAAGCAGATTTTTTCCAGTTTTTTATTACTTCTTTGTGCTTATCCTTAAATTGCCATTGGCCTGTCGTTCAAAATTTTCCACCATGCTCAATCAGAATTTTGTCTAATTGACTAGAGGTTTTTCAGTTATTTGAATAACCTTTGGATTGGGGATGCCATTTACCACTATGATTGTCTTAAACTTGTGAATTTTGGTGGGGTTTTGTTTGGATTGGTTTATTTCTAGCAATTGACTCTAACAATGGGTTGGGTTGTTTTGTTTTTTCTCCTCTTTTGGTCAGATTGATCCAAACCCAGATCAGCCCACAGATGACAGACCATCTTGCCCCTCTCGTTGAAGGAATCCATAAGAAGCTGACTTGACTTGGGTTTTGAATCGTACCTGCCATGTTGAAGGTCAAGGCGTCATAGTGGAGACATACTTTCAGAGGAAGTGGTTTTGCTCTTGCCTGTATGGTGAATAAATGAAAACAACCTGTGATCATGCTTTGAAGCCTACAGAAACATTGTAGGACTGCTCCACATGCTTGAAGACCTGAGCTTTCCCCCTCCCTTAAATACTGGCACATACTAGGAGCAGCCTTACTAACCTACAGTCATGTGTGTCAAAACACTCAAACCACATTGTAAGAGAGGGATGGCTTCCTCTTATGATTTGGAAATTTGCACATGCTCATTGCTTATCTTGTGCGGTTCAGTGTCACTACAGCTTTTTCTCATTTGTGCCGGACTTGTTGTTACCCCCCCACCCCCGGTTATTTGTTTGTGGTCCGCACAATAAGGAGCAAAAGAAAGCTTTGACAAAAAAACAACAGCAACAGACTTTGACAAATGCACTGACTTTTCTTTTTTTTTTTAATTTAATGTAGCCTGGACTTTACCTGCATATGCACATGCTCAGAATTGTCCTAGTAGGCTGATCATGTATCACCTCTTCAGCTTGGATCCTATTGTGGATTTATTTACAAACATCAAATGCCTTCAAGCCAATCCTTCTTGCTGTATGTTTTGCAGCCTACTGTAGTAGATAAGCAACAGATGTGGGGCTGGGGTGGGGGGTGGAGAGTTAATAGAACGAAACTAATAGACTTCATCAAGATTGTATACCTTCTTGATTTCTTTTAAGAATTTGTTGCCTTTCTACTATTCTCGCAAAGCAGCATTTTGTTACAGACTGCCTAAAAATCACTTAATCTCAGGTGAACTCATCACTTGCCAAACTGTTGGAATGCTATTTGTTTTGTTACGTTGCACTGTTGAGTTACTTCTTTTTTTTTGTTTTGTGTTTGTGTTTTGTTTTTGTTCTTTATTCGAGAGGGGGATCTGGAATAGGGACATACACAAAAGTTAGAAAACCTACCCTCATTCCCATTTCTCTTTGTATGTTATAAAGAAAAGAGATGTTCAAGTTGTGAAGCTTTAAAAGAAAAAAATAAAAAGGCACAAATGAAAGCCGCACCAGTAGACACCAGCTCAGCCTCAAAAGCATTTTAAAAGGAAATAGTCATACACTGTCTAGATTCATAGACAGACTGATATCTCAAGTAGTAGGGATGGGAAGGGAAAGTAAATTTATTTTTATATATAGTTACCTAATCACCAAAAATTCTATATGTAATGAGTCTCTAGTAGAAAGTATATTTCAAACTGCAGGAAACGCTTGGACTATGCTAAGAGCTCAGTTTGTGCACTTTGTATTATCTTCAGGGTTTATGATACTGTAAAATAGTAAGACTAGAGGTATAATTAAACTGGGCAAGATCGGTGTTACCAGCTGTACTCGGATACCAGTTAGCTAGAGTTGCTTTGATGATTGCATCTTCTGTGGTACTCTCAAGAGCTTCAGAACAAACAGAACAGCGCATTTCACCACACCTTAATTCGGACTGCGAGAAATTCTGTGGAAAGAGCACTCGCCCTTGAGTGTGCCCCAGGGAAGAAGAGAGTGCAATGGAGCCATTAGATGTGCTAACACCAATACCAGCACTTAGATGCTAGAGATTTACAATAAAAGTCAACTTTCCTTTTCAGAAATCGTGTAACACAGACCATTGACAAAGGGACACGCTTCTGGTGTTGACGACTTAAATCAAGATGTAATCCATCAAGTATCTATCTCCTTGTGCAATAAAACAGCTCGGAAGGGAGCGGGAGAGGGGAGGCTGGTGTTCCTGCGTGGTGCTCGTTCTTAAAAACCTCTGCCTCGGTTTTAAGGCTTCATAAATGCGACACGATAGGCTTTTCCATAAGTGGCCTTCATGAGAACATGAACGATACTTCATGTTTAAAAAATGACAACAGGGTGATAAAATATTTAATGAGTCGCGTTTTAAGTGATTCAGTTAAAAGGCTTGGGCTTTGAGCAGGAATATTGGACGAGAAGGAAATTGGGTGATGTCTTGCGTTATTAGGCCAATTTTGTGAATGTCCCTTCCCTCCACCCTCTCCAACCAGACAATTATAAAAGCTGATGGGATCGTTGGCATAAAAGGGCATTTGGTGGTTTTACTTTTTTTTCCTTTTTTGTTACTTTAACAGACTAGGGAACAATTGCTGATATACATAGCATTAAAGTACTTCTCACAATACAATGGGAAATTGCGTATGAAGCAGGATTGACCAATATCGTCGTAATTGACATGGCATCACAGCCTTTGTGATTAGAGTGAAAAAGTCTACAACCTTACCAAATAAAGACTTTCAGTTTAAATTACGTTGTTTGTTGTTCAGAGGCATTACTCTTCCACAAGTATTGGTCAATTCTCAGCGTTACAAAACATGAGGTTCACAGTTGTAGCCCAGTATTTGATAGAGAATTCTGATCTGAATTAGGAAAAAGTAAGTAAAATCCAAACATTAGAGAAACAAAGTGCAATATTAAATGTTTGCTTTATAGATTATATTCTATGGCTGTTTGTACTTTTCTTTTTTTTGTTTTTAGTTTTGGTGCTGAATATGTCCTTGTAGACTCTGTTTCAAGAAAACAATATGTGGAAAACAATTTAATTTTTCCTATTGCTCTTCCTTGTGGAAAATAAACTTTTGTAAAAAAAAAAAAAAGGGTTTTAAATGTTTTCAGTGTAAGTCATAATTCTTTATCCATGATCTAAATACTCTCTTCAAAACATGTCTGGGTGTAAAATAATAACTGCGAGGATCACATAATACAGGAACTCGCTGTAGGAACACATGTACTACCTGCCTCAAACTAGATGGGGAAAAACTGTCATAGAACTACACCACCGAGTACCACGACAGTGCGGTTCCAGCACTTTCCCCCGGCCCCTTTTATTTGCATCGGTGGCCTCCCGGGGCCGGCTCCCAGGCGGGAAACTGCCATTTCCTCCGTGGGGGAGCGCCGGTAACGGGCAGGATGCGCACGCCTTTCGAGGACGCTCGCTCTGCCGCTGCAACCGTGGTGACCCTCGTTCCAGGACGTACGGCTGGGGGGGCAGTGAGGGGGGCCGCGCGCCTTTTGGTGGGGCTGGGAGGAAATCGGGGGGAAGGGGAATGACGTGAGAGGCCTGGTTTGCAGCTGGGACTCGGGCACGGGGCTTGGCCACCCGGGGGGGAGAAGGGGGCCGTTGGCGTCCCCCTT